TGGTGAAGCCTCTTGCCGCCCCTGAGCCTCTGGCCTGTACCCCAGTTCTGTATGCACAAATAAATAAATCTTTTTTAAAAAGAAATAGACCCCCCACTGACTGGGAGAAAATTTTCACATATAACACGAATGATAAAGGACTGATCACAAAGATAGACAAAGAGCTGACAAAACTCAACAAATATAAAATGAACAACCCCATCAAAAAGTGGTCAGACATTTATACAAAGAGGAAATGTAGATGGCCAACATGCATATAAAAAAAAATGTTCAGCATCACTTGTAATTAAGAAAATGTAAATCAAAACCACCATGAGATACCACCTCACACCAGTGATAATGACACTTTTTTTTTTAAAGCAACAATAAATGTTGGAGAGGGTACAGAGAAAAATGAACTCTCCTACATTGCTGGTGGGAATGCAAACTGTTACAACCACTATGGAATGCTGTGTGGAGTTTCTCAAACTGCTAAAAATGGAGCTTCCATATGATCTAGCAGTCCTACTGCTAGGTATCTACCCAAAGGACACAAAAACAACAATTCAAAAGGACACCTGCACCCTGATGTTTATTGCTTCCTTGTTTATAATAGGAAAGATGCGGAATCAAACAAAATGGCCTAAAATAAATGACTGGATCAAGATGATGTGGTATATATACTCAGTGGAATATTACTCAGCAATAAAAAACATTATACCATTTGCAGCAACATGGATGGAACTGGAAAAGATCATGCGTAGTGAAATAAGCCAGAAAGAAAAAGAAAAATACCAGATGACTTCACTCTTAGTATTAGCATAAAAGATAACATACATACATACATAGACATACACAGATAGCAATTGTAATAACATAGTAAAGAACATCAACTAACAACTATAAATCAGAGAAGTCTATGGGGGAGAAGTGGGGAACAAGATCAGAACAGGGTTTGGAAAAGCATGTGGGACTATGGTGATAGAAGCATAAGGGTGAAGTGATGGTGGAAAGTCTATGGGGATTAGAACTGAGATGAAAAAAAAAATGTACAAAATGAAGAATAATGTAAAAATATATAAAATTAAAAAAGAAAGAAGAATTAATGGTGAAATTCATATGGTAACAACAACAACAAACTATGAATAGCCAAAACTCTACTGACGAAACAAAAGGGAATGGAGGTATCACACATCCAAACTTCAAACTATACTACAAAGCCATAATAAATAGTGTGGTACTAGAACAAAAACAGACAGACCAATGTAAACAAATAGAAAGCCCAGATATAAACTCACATATATGTGGACAATTAACCTTTGACAAAGGAGCAAAGATATGCAATGAAACAAGGACACTTTGTTCAATGGTTGGTTCTGTGAAAACTGGGCCAACATAAGCAAAATAATGAAACTAGGCCTTACCTGACACCATGCACAAAACTCAACTCAAAATGGATAACATATTTGGGCAAAAGACCTGAAACCATAAAATATAGAAGAAAATATAGGTAAACACTACAAGGCATATATCTCAGTAACATCTTTAATGACTCATCACCAAAAGCAAAAAAAGTGAAAGGAAAGACAAAGACTTTGGACTTCATCAAACTGAAAAACTTCGGCACAACAAAAGAGACATAAATCAAAATAAGAGAGACATCCTACTGACCGGGGACAAAAATTTATTGTCATCAATACAATGGAAAAGGGACTTATGAAGATATACAAATAACTCACATTAGTCAACAAAAGCAAAGTAAACAATACAGTCAAATGGACAGAAGAGCTTAAAAGACACTACTCCAGAGAGAAAAAGCAAACAGGCTATAAAAAATGTCCAATATTCCCTTCAGGGAAATGCAAATCAAAACCATAATAAGATACCATCTTACACTGCTAAGAATGATATTTGGGTGTGTGTGTGTGTGTGTGCACATGCGTATGTATTTATGTGTGTATGTATGTATATGTGTATATACATATATACATATAAATAGCAACAACAAATGTTGATGAGGATGTGATGATAAAGGAACTCTCCTACATTGCCAGTGGAAATGCAAACTGGTACAATCACTATGGAAAGCTGTATGGAGGTTCCGCAGATTACTAAAAGTGGAGGTTTTAGTAAAACTATATGACCCAGGAATTCCACACTCCTAAGGATCTACCCAAAACACAAAAAAATCAATTCAAAAGGATACCTGCACCCCTATTTTTATTGCAGCACTATTTACAATAAGTAGGTAAAACCTGAAAACAATCCAAATTCCCAGAAGTAGATAATTGGATCAAGAAGATATGGTATGTATATACATGACAAAAGATAAATTCATGCTATTCACAGCAACATGATGGAGCTAGAAGGGGTCATGCTCAGTGAAATAAGTCAGAAAAAAATGTTGAATGTTTTTACTGATAAGAGAAATGTAGTGGAGCCAAATAAGTCATAAGGGGTAAATAATAACAATACAAAACCCAATGCAACACTACAGAAACAAACAGAATATTATAAACTAGAAACATCCTGCAGGGGGAGGGGGAGAGACAGGGTTTGGAAGGAGGGAAGGAAGGAGGAGCACTGAGGTGATGGTGCATGGACAAATTGGGGGAGGAAATTCTATGGCGTCTACACCTGAGGGGGGGGTAAACCTTGTTTTAAAATGAACAAATATATGTGTATATATGTGTGTTGTGTGTACATGTGTGTGTGTATACATATATATGCATATGTGTGTGTGTGTATAGGAAGGGAGGGAGGGAGGAAGACAGGAAGATGGAAGGAAGGACGGAAGGAAGGGAGGGAGGGAGGCGGGAGGCTGGGTGGAAGGAAGGAAGGGAGGAAGGAAGGAAGGAAGGAAGGGAGGAAGGAAGACCACCTAGAAATATACAGAATACAGGGTTGTCCTATTTTATGTAAGGGGTGCATTTCTGAACACCTCTCATATTAAAAACTCCCATAACTCAAAATATAATTCTGATCTACAATCTTGTACTGGCCTGTTTACTAGCTAAAACATCTTTATCTCCAAAGCTATTTTTCAGGTCCAGATCACCATAAAGTGTCCAATATCCCTGATTTTTGAATTCATGAAATTCTTTAACAATTTTTCAATTATGTTCAGGTTTCATGTTACTTTATGTATTATCCTTGAAGTGATCATTTATTATTACTTTTAAAAGAGCTCAATTTATAGGGTCAAATTTTGATGAAGGGATAGAATTGACCTTTCAGTGGTGAATTTAATGTTGTTTATACACATGCTGATTTATAATAATACATACCCAAAACATATTGTAAACCACAATGTGATTTCAATAAAAATAACAGAAAAATGTAAAAAAAGAGCACAATTATTTTCTGCATACAATACAGCTAATTTTACTACATCATTATTAGCTAGACATATTTTCTGCTGTTACATCTCTGCAGACATGAATATCTTTATTATCCCTTCTCAGCCTAGAGAATCCCTATCAGTTCTCTAAGATCCACCTAAAATATGTCCTCCTTGAAGCCTTCTGTCTTGGCTAGACAGAATAAATCATTGCCTTTTCTTTTTCAAAAATACCTTGCTTATATGCCTATAAGCTTATATGTACCACTTTTGTGGTATAAACTATTCATATAATCCTATCATTATGACTGTAACTTATTCATATATAACCTCACTGTGCTTTGCGCAATGCTTACAGTAGATACTCAGAATATGTTAATTTTAATCTCTCTGGAATATTATAAAGATTAAACAAAATTATTTCTATTAGTTGCTTGGTACAAGCTGCTCAGTTGTTACTGCTGCTCAGTAAAATTTACATTCCTTTTTCTTCTTAAGTGTACTCCTGTCTCATTTAACTTACCTCCCTATATTCTGTCTTTGAGTAAAATAATTTTTTTTCCCTTTCATTGCTCACATGTTTCTTCTTCAAGGTACTAACCTAATTGTTTTTGCACCGCTCATTTATTTTACTTATTTATTTCATTAGGTCACTGGCCCTGTTCAATTTAGAGATTCCCCTAAGACAGCAGACAGAGGTAATATGACATCTCCACCACTCCTGGATGCCAACCCTATGGAGAACCCAGCACTGTTTAATGACATCAAGATTGAGCCCCCAGAAGAACTTCTGGCTAATGATTTCAATGTGCCCCAGGTGGAACCAGTCGATCTCTCCTTTCACAAACCAAAAGCTCCTCTCCAACCTGCTAGCATGCTGCAGGCTCCAGTGCGTCCTGTCAAGTCACAGCCTGCTCCCCAGGCCCTTGTAGTATCCACTTCAACATCTGACACAAGCACTTCGGCAAACATTCCTACAGTTCTGACTCCAGGCTCTATCCTGGCCCCTCAGGGCACTGGAAGCCAGCAAATCTTACATGTGATTCACACCATCCCATCAGTCAGTCTGCCAGATAAGCTGGGTGGCATGAAGACCATCCCAGTGGTGGTGCAGTCGCTGCCCATGGTCTATACTACTTTGCCTTCAGATGGGGGCCCCGCAGCCATTACAGTCCCACTCATTGGAGGAGATGGCAAAAATGCTGGATCAGGTAAGCATCAATGTGCCCCCATTCTGGGACTCATCTTAGTCCATCTGTACTTGTTGAGTTATCACCTTTCTCTTTTTTCACTCCTCCAGTTATAATTGAATAATTTTACAGAAACTTTTCAATGTTTTAGAATTTATAATAACTCTTTTGCTTAGTCCATGCTTCTCACACTGGGGTAACCTTATCCTTGAGTGAAATAGTATACATCACCCTAGAATCATTGTACTATTTGATAGTATATTAGTATGATTTCACTAAGTGACAAAATATAAAAATTTAATAACATTTTAACATAAGACTCAATCTCAAAAAAAAATAAATAAATTAGCCTATTAACATTCCCACCCTGGAACTTTCTTAGATAATATGTTTATTTTTCTATTATGTTAAAGATGCTATGGAGGAAAATTTTATATAATTAGCCTGTTTTAGCTTCTCCCTCCCCCAAACTTTATCTTTTTTCTTCCCTACAGGTAAAATAGCCCTCTTTGAAATATTGCCATGGTCCTGTATTCCCTTTCATTCATCTTCTGTCAACTTCCATTTTATGTTTTTCTTGACTATAGCACAGTGTATGGGCATTCTTCCCAACTGAACTGTAAATTTCAGGGCAAGAGTCTGTCTTATTTCTTCTTGGGCATCTACAGAAAACCTAATATAGTGGTAGATAGTTGCTTTCTTATAACATATACTTTAGTGAACAGGCATGCCTTTTTTTTAATGCGTGATAATCTTCAATTTTTATATAACTTTCAAAATATATTCACAATTCAGAAAGGCATAAATTAAGTTCCATTCCACCACTAAACCCCAGTGACCCAGCTTTTCTCCTAGAGGCATATCTTCTTTGTTTGTAATTGGGAATTATAAAAAACAATTATGGCTCCTGTGGTGGAGCCATAATTATTTAGCTTTACTATACCTGTAAAATTATGATAATTTTTGTCTGTTATACCTTAGGAATAATATTGGGATTTTTTTTTTATAGTTAGAGGAGAAAGATTAGGATGTCAAATGGATTCAAGTCCATGTAAAATTTGGAATTGATAAGTGAATAGAAGGAATTAAAAAAAAAAAGACCAAATGGAAGATCAGTGACTAGAAATCAGATTACATCTCAGTATTAAAAAAAAAAAAACTTTCTAAAGTTTTCTTTGAAATTCAATGTCTTGTCATAAAACCATCAATAAATGTAGGTGTCTGAAAAACACCTTACTGAGCATTTAAGATTCTGATACTGCAGTGTTCTTTTGATAAAAATATCATGAACTAGTAGTAAATTGTGATGGTAATAATTGTCAAACAATGTTGTTTTTGAGATAACACAAAGATATGGATTAAAATATGGTTATCATGCAGTGAAAATTTTAGACTTTAGGACAAAATTAGTAGTTAACAGAAGGAAGAGTGAATGGATATGTGTAAATCAGGTAAAGGGGATGGTGAAGGATGAAATTGGAATTTTAGTGGTGAGCATAGTGTATTATATACAAATTTTGATTTAGAACAATACACACCTGAAACCTATATAATGTTATAATGCAATGGTGCATCAACAAATGTTTTTAAAAAGTTTAAATTGGAGGGGACAGATGTGGTTATCAATTCTCACATAAGGAAAGATAATAGAACAAAAAAAAATGAAATGGGAAAACAAAAGTCCTCATGTGAGAATTTGCTGATATCATAACTGTGGTAGCATTAATGACAGAGATTGAATTCACCCCAAAGTATCCATAAGTTCATCAGAGCCACTCCAAATAAGCAGAATTCATTTTTTAAAAATGTCTGTTTAGTTTCAGGCTAAGACCATTAACCTAGTGGTCTCCCAAATAGTATGCTTAAACCTTGGTATTGGAAGAGAATGACACAAAATACAGTTGAAGCAGAAGAAAAAAAATCAGCAGTACTTGTAAAGTATTTCTAGATCTTACTGATTACATATTGTATTAATTTATGATAGGTATGTATTTCATCTCATTGACAAGTTTCCATTTAGGTGAACAAAATTGAAAGGTCATATTCTGAACTTCAGAGTAAGTCTAGGTATCAGGATTACCAGGGAGTTATTCAGAGAATTTGAATGAAAAATCTCTTTGAGGAAGCTCTTCTTCCTCTCTGAAGGAAAAATAAGGACCTTCTCAGACAAAAAAATCTTAGGAAATTTGCTCTCCTAAACCTTTTTCAAGAATGTGACAAGAAGCCTTAAACTCTGAGTCAACAGAATGAATAGGAAGTGTTTAACAAGGTACGAAATAGAACCAAGAAATGATGAACAAAATGCCAAGTACAGGTTTCCATGTGTTACCTTAAACTTAATGGACTAAACTCACCAGGAAAAAGACACAGAGGGCCTCCCTAATGACACAAGGGATTAAGTCTCAGCACTATGAAGCTATCCACAACCACTGCAGCACGAATTTGACCCCCAGTCAGGGAACCTAAATGGCACAGCAGACCTCTGCTGTCTTACCTGCTGCTCCCCTCAGCAGTGTATTTCAGTCAGAGCTCTGTACTGCTTCCTACTCTGTCTTTGGTGAATCCTCTCATCTCCCCATACCTCTTGCCTACACCTCAGTTCTTTTATGTATAAATAAATAAAGTAAAAATAAAAGAAAAGATAAAGATACAGACTAGAAGTCTAGATAAGGAAACAAATCCCAAATTTCTGCTGCCTCCAGGAAACATACCAAACTGGAAAAGATCAACATAGAAATAAACTGTTGGAAAAATTCTACAAACAAATTTCCTCCCAAAGAAGGCAAAGACAGCCATATTTATATCAAGTAAAATATACTTCAACTAAAAAGTTGACAAGAGACATAGATGCAGATGATATAATGACATAGGTGACAATACACCAGAAATATGTAACACTTATCAGTATATACTCATTAAATGAGGGAGCACCAGAATATACTAGATAACTACTATCATCTCTAAAAATAGACATTAGAGAAAATACATATATAATAGGAGTCTTTAACACTACACCCTCACCAAGAGACATATCAACAAAGCAGAAAATAAACATGGACATAGTAGCCCTAAATAAAGAGGCCTAACAGATATCTATAGGACAATGCACCAAAAATAAACCTGAATACAAATTGTTCTCAAGTGCATGTGGATTGTCCTCCAGGATAGACCACATACTAGCACCAAGAAACACATAAGCAAATACAGGAATATTGAAATCACACCAACTACATCCTCTGACCATAAAAGCAGAGAAATCAACTATGCAAAGAAAGCAAGATACCACCTCATTACATAGAAAATGAACAACATGTTAGTGAAAGACCAAAGGATCAATGAGGAAGTCAAATAAGAAATTAATAAATACATTAATTACACAAATACATTAATAATTAATAAATACATATTACATGGAGAACAAAACTTTCCAGAATGTATGGTACACAGCAAAAAGCAGGAATAAGAGGGAAGAATATAGAAATAGAGGCCCACATCAAGAAACAAGAAAACTTCCCCCCCAAAATGTAACCTCTGATCTCAAGGAACTAGGAAAGGAACAACAACAGAAAGCCAAAAGCCAATAGAAAAGAAGAAATAATAAAAATAAAAACTGAAATAAATGAAATATAAATTAAAAGGACTATCCTAAAGATTGATGGACTCCACAGCAGATTCTTTGAAAAAATTAACAAAATAGACAAACCTTTAGCCAGCCTCACAAAGAAAAAAAAGGGAGAATACTCAAGTAAATAGGGTCATAATGAAAGAAGAGAAATAACAACAGATACAGCAGAAGTCCAGAGGATAATCAGAGATTATTGTGAACATTTATATGCAAACAATTTCAACAATCTGGAAGAGGTGGTCAAATTCGTAGAACTATACAAATCAGACAAAGCAGTAGAAACCCTTAAAAAAATATAAAGTGAAATTGGAACAGTACTCAAAATCCTTCCCAAACAAAGCCCAGGACCAGTTGTTTCACAAATGAATTCTGCTGAACATTCAAAGAGGATCAGGTGTCTAGCCAACAAAAAACTGTCTCAAAAAATTGTGAAAGAACAAAGAAAATACATTTTGTAAAGTCAACATTACACTAATAGCAAAATGAAACAAAGACAATACAAAAAGAAATATCTACAGATCAATCTCCCTAATGAACACACATGCTAAATTCCTCAATGGTATCTTGCAAACTGATAATATGTCATGTCCAAGTGGGATTTACCCAAGGGACACAGGGTGGTTCAACATCTGAAAATGAATTAATCTATCACATCAACAAAAACCTAAGTATATAATCATATCAATAGATGCTAAGAAAGATTTGATGAAGTTCAACATCAATTTATGACGAAGGCCCTCTAAATTCCTGAACCAGAAGGAAAACACACCTTAATGTAATAAAAGTTATATATGACAAATCCACAACCAATTTTCTTTTAACATATTTTACTGTGTTTAATACTATCTGTATGTATAGAAGAATTGGGATGTAGACCAGAGGTGTTAGAAGTAAGAGAAATCACTAGAGAGAGAGGGGCGCAGAACAGGATACGCTGAAATGCACGGCTGGGGGGGGTATTGGCTATGACAGGATAGGTCGTGCAACAGCACCATATGTGGGTTAGCTCCCTGGGGGTTGAACTGAGACTATAGAAGGATTGTACTGAAGCTTAACCTCTAGGCCACCAGGGAAGCCTGCTAATATAATTGTTAATGGTGAATAACTGAAATTCTTTCCTTCAATATGTGGTGTGAGAGTGGTGTGCACTCAAAGCACTGTTATTCAGTATATTACAGGAAATCTTAGCTAGAGCAATTAGGCAAGAGAAAGCAAAATAGGGAATCTAAATAGGGAAATAAGAAGTAAAATAATCACTATTTGATAATGATTTTATAATGTAGAGCAAACCCTAAAAACTCCACAAGAAAAAAAATATTAAAAAAATAAATCAGTTTAGGGCCCTCCCAGGTGGCACAGTGGGTTAAAGCACTGCACTAAGAAGCTTAAGCCACTTCCACATGAGTTCGATCCCTGCCTGTCCCAGAGGAGATCCACATAGTGTGGCAGACTTCTCCTGACCCGCCCGCTGCTCACCTCAGCAGTGTACCTCATTGATCTGCCTGTTCTGCTCCCCACTCTGCCCCTGGTGAATCCTCTCACCCTCTGCATCTCTGGCCTGTACCCCAGTTCTGTATGAATAAGTAAATCTTTCAAAAAAATTAGTTTAGTAAATTAGTGGTTAAAATATCAACACACAAAAGTGAGTAGCTAAAATAAGCATACCATTTACAGTTGTACTTAAAAAAATTAAATATTTGGGAATAAACCTACAAAGGAGGTGGATGACCTATACAAGGAAAATTACAAAACATTATGAAAAGAAACAGAAGACACAAAGAAATAGAAATGTATTTCCTGTTCATGGATAGGAAGTTATTAAAATTATAAAAATGACCATCCTAGCAAAAGTAATTTACAGATTCAATGAAATTCCAATAAAAAGCTCAATGACATTCTTCAAAGAAAGAGAACAAATATTGCTGAAATTTATATGGAATCACACACACACACAAAACGCTCAAAAAGGCAAAGCTCTCCTGACTAGAGAGGGAAGGAATGGATGTATTACATTCCCAGACTTCAAACTATACTATAAAGCCATAATAATTAAAATGACACTGTACTGGAACAAAAATAGATACACAGACCAATGGAATTGAATTGAAGAGCCAGAAATAAAGTGACACATATATGTTCAGCTAATCCATGAGAAAAGAACAAGGAATGTTCACTGGAACAAGGAAAATCTGTTTAATAAATGATGCTTGTAAAACTCTGCTGCTACATGCACAAGAATGAAACTAAATTACTAACTCATACTGCACACAATATCAACTGAAAATGCATAGAATGTTTGAATGTAACAACTGAAACCATAAAATACATAGAAGAAACACAGCATTTCATAATATACATCTCAGAAATATATTTGAGAACTCATCTTCAGTAGCAATGAAAATGAAGCAAAGACGAACAGATAGGACTACATCATACTAAAAAGCTTCTGTATGGTAAGGGAGAAAATAACTTAGATAAAAAGACAACCAACAGATCGTGAGAAAATATTTACACTCCATACAATTGGTAGGAGACAGATATCACATATCTGCAAAGTGCTCACATGACTCAACAAAAACAAAGTAAACAACTGAGTCAAAAAATAGGCAGAAGCCCAAAAGACACTTCTCCAAAGATAAAATACAGTTGGCCATGAGGTATATAAAAAATGGTTAGTATCACTCATAATTAGGGAAATGCAAATCAAAGCAATGAGATACCCCCTCACCCTAGTGAGAATGGTCCATCTTAAAAACAAACAATAAAAAAAAGTGGCAACAACAAAAGCTGGCGAAGATGTAGCAGTAAAGGAGACCTCCTACACTGCTGCTGGAAATACAAATTAGTCCAACTATTATGGACACTTATGTGGAGGACCCTCAAATTACTAAAAAATTGATCTACCATATGACCCAGTGATTCCACTCCTAGTAATCTACCCAAAGGACACCGAACTTGAATTTGATGCAAACCTGCACTGTTATGTTTATTGCAGCACTATTTACAATAGCTAAGATATGAAAACAACCTAAATGCCCAAAAATAGGTGAATGGAACAAGATGTGGTTTCTCTACACAATGGAATTCTATTCTGCAATTAAAAAGAATAAACTCAAGCCATTCGAGCCATTGAATGGAGGTAGAAAGGATTATGCTTATTGGTAATAGTAAGAAAGAAAAAAAAATGATGCTCAATTTATTTGAGGGATACAGGGAAATTGACCTAAAGGTTAAAAAATAGACAAAATAGCAGGAAAACTATAGATGGAAGGCATTCAGCAGGGGAGAGGAAGAAATATCAAAATAGGGGAGGGACTATGGTTAAGTTTCACGAGTGATGCAGTAGTGGGAGACTTACTGGTTCTATAACTGAGGGGAGAAATCAAATATTGTGCTAAAATGGCAACAATGAAGAAAATTAAAAAGCTTAATTCATAAAATAAAATGAAAAATCTCATTGAGGGCCAAAGACAAACTTTCAAATCCACTCTTGAAAGCTGACCATAGTGCTGAGACACCCAGAAGAAGCGAAGGGAGGAGGAGATCTAAGAACAGGGTAGGGAAGGGGAGATCATGGTAGAAGACTATGGGTGCTTTGGTGGTGGGAGAGCTCTGGTAGCCTGAAATCCTGTATGTCAAAAAATTAAGAAGGGGGCCCTCCCCTGGTGGTGCAACGGGTTAAAGCGCAGCACTGCAAAGCTATCAACAACTGCCTCTGTGCAAGTTTGATCCCCCAACAAGGTGGTGACCCACATGATGCTACAGAACACTTCTGTCTAGCCCGCTGCTCCCCTGAGCAGTGTACTTTGTCCAACTGCCTGTACTGCTACCCACTCAGTCTCTGGTTCTTTATGCATAAATAAATAAATCTTTAAAAACAATTAAGAAGGATGCAAAACAGTGGTGTTTTATTTTAAAAAGAAATAAAAAGGCAAAGAAAAAATGTTGAAACTGACTTTTCAGCAGACCTTTTCCTGGGGACTGGAAATAAGAACATTGACTCATACTCAGACCTTCCCTGTTCTAGAAAAATGTACTGTCCTGTCTCAATTACTATGCTGGAAAAGCTAATTCTAGTGGCACTAGACATTCTTTACTTCCTTTCCCTTAAAGGAACTTCTATTACTTGCTATGCCAAAAAATCTGAATGTTTTTCTCTTCCTTCCATACAATTCTTCCATCTTTGCTTTTTCTTACTTCTCTGTCTTGCTGCTGTTTCACATTGTGGGCCAAACTAGGGAAATCTGAAAATTACAGAGCCACATATATTTGTACTTCACAATGCTCCTTTTCTTTGTGTTAGTGAAAGTTGATCCCACCTCCATGTCTCCACTGGAGCTTCCAAGTGACAGTGAAGAGAGTGCAATTCAGAGTGGATCCTCAACCTTAAGGAGTATTCAGGGACTACAGCAAGAGTGAGTACTTTTGTCTTTAATTCAGGTCTATCATTGTGTATATATGTGTCTCTGGTGAACCTGGAGTGATCTCAGACACAATAGTTAGAATTTGAAAACAACAATATACAGGTAACTGCCTCGCAATAAAGGTATGTGTTTGTGTACAACATGTATATGGGTATACATGTAATAGGAGATTTATGTTCTAATTGTAGATCATCAATTTGCCCTTAAAAACTCCAAATTTCTTATGATGTTCAGTTGTATACTGTTTCCACAAGTTTAAATCAGCATTGTTTTTCAATGTTGAAAATAATGAAGTAGTTGACTTGTATTTTAGCAACATATCGTATGAAAAAGACATTTCTTTAAACACAAGAATGAGACTTAAAGAGTGAAATTTCTACACTGTTTGGAATAGAAACCACCAAGAGAAATCATAACCTACACTTACAGAGGAGAATGACCTTGTTGAGGAAATTGTTGAGGAAATTTCAATTATTTTTTTCTTCTTATGGGCTTGGTGTTAAATTTGCGTAAATTAAATACGCATATTAAGTGGTCTCACTATATGTAAGTCCATTTTAGTCTTCACTTTAAAATCATTCTTTGGCCTATCTTTCTTTGCTCAGACCAGCAGCAATGACCCAAACGCAGGGAGAAGAGTCCCTTGACTTGAAGAGAAGACGGATTCACCAGTGTGACTTTGCAGGATGCAGCAAAGTGTACACCAAAAGCTCTCACCTGAAAGCCCACCGCAGAATCCATACAGGTCTGCCCATTTCCATCCCTTCCCCACCACACACACACACACAGACACACACACACAGACACACACACACACACAGAGGAATATACATACTCTCAGAGATAGGAAGAGAGCAAATTTTTGAAATAACGACTGATTCATTTGCACTTAGAGGGACAGGCTCCATCAATGACTTTTATGTTTATGTCTTATTCCTATTTTATGGTAACTTTTATAAAATCAGCCTAGGATAACACTAAACCTTGTGTCTTCTGAATAATAATGGTTCCCATTGAGCACCTGTGGATATTTCTGTTTGGAGAATCATAACACTTAATGTAAAGATTAGCCAGTTCATACATCTCCCTGTCCCTTGTGACAGGAGCCCCACAAGATTTACAGAGAAAATCAGAAAGGAAGGTTAAACTAAATGAAATTAAAGCTGGATTTTTGGAGCTCAGCATCATACACCAATCTGTAAGAACTTTTTTCATTATAAAATTCTTATATGCACCATTATAAAAATGGTGCATATAAGAAAAAAAATATGTAAAACAGACCTAGTGTGCATTATGCCCAGCCGGAGGGGGAATACTTGCCCTTTCTGAAGGAGAAGCATCACTCTACTTCAAATTTGTGTCACCAATTACCAAAAATTTTAAATCAGAAAATCAATATTTTTATGTGTGATGTGCTAAATTATGTATGTTGACATCTAATTCATAAATTTTTAGTAACAGCATGGATTCAATCAAAACTGCCTATGAGCTGATGTAGTTTTTTATTAATCAGTGTGTATCTTCTTTCTTGGAGATGCCTCCCCAATCATCTTCAGCTCAGAATTGAGGCTAGTACACCCTGCACAAGCAAGAGTTCTTCCTTCGTTGTAAATATATGTTATGTTTGGTGTGTTAGGATTTGTATACAAGGACCCAGAGTCCTAATTTCTGTGTCCTGAGACTAGGAAAAGGTTGCTAATATTCAGGATGATCAACCCAACCTTCTAATGATATATTTGTTGATGTTTTATTTGCTTCTCCTCTATGTAGAATGGAGGCTGGAAAAAAATATATGTGTATATACACACACATACATGCTAACTTTTAAATGCAAAAGAAGGATAACTTACTGGACTTTCATGAACACTTCACTGAACTTTAACACTTACATCAGTAACAGGTCATTTTGTTTCATTTTTTGTTAAGAAAATAAAATTAGTTATAACTCAGTATATGACTTAGAGATATAAAATCACACCCTTCAGGTGTATGTTACCACACAATATGTACCACCCAGGCACCCATAGTCCAACACTACAATCCACTGCACATACGCCACACTGCTCTGCTCTTTCCCCTACCCTTCAATTTTACAGTCTGATTTCCAGAGTTTGTTAATGGTTTTGTCTGAACTTTGTTTTGATTTTCTATATTCCAAACAGACGTGAAACAATCCTATATATGTATTTCTTCTTATAACCATAATCACTAGGCATAATCTCTTCCAATTTCGTCCATGTTGTCTCAAATTACAGACTGTATCTTCATTGCAGTTCTATAGTATTCGTTAGTGTATGTCACATCTTCCTAATCCAATAATCTGTCTTTGAACACTTAATGTTTTTGTGTTCTTCAAATAGATGCCTAAGAATGCAATTGCTGGATCACATGCTATATCTATTGTTAATATGTTTTGAAACTTCCATACTGTTTTCCATAAGTGCTGGACCAGCCTATATTCCCTCACACATGAATGATCATTTCTTATTCTCAACATTATTGTCAACACTTGTTTCTTTTGCTCTGGGCCATTCCCACAAGTATGAAGTGTTGTCTCATTGTGGCTTTGATTTGAATTTCCCAGATAAGTGTTGATGAGCATTTTTTATTATCACTTTTACCATCTATATGTTCTCTTTGGAGAAGCTCCACTGCACATTTTTTGATTGAGCTACATCTCAGATATAAGCCTTTTTTCATATTTCTGTTGAACAAATACTTTCTCCCAGTAGTTAGGATGTATGTTGTTTCAATGACAGTTTATTTCATTGTGCAAAAAATTTTAATTTAGTGTAGTCCAATTGTCCATATTCTCTCTCTTTTTTCCTATTGCTATTGGAGACATATTCACAAAGACATCACTGACAACTATAATATGGAGGGGTTTGTTTATGTTTTCTTCTATGTATTTTGTGATTTTAAGATTTACATTAAAATCTTATCTTGATATTTAGTTAATTTTTATTTATGATATGAAATAGTGGTGAACTTTCATTCCTTTGTATGTGGCTATCTAGTCTGCCTACCATTATTTGTTGAAGAGACTTTCTCCAATATATACTCATGATTCATTTGTGTGTGTGTGTATGTGTGTGTGTGTGTGTATGTCAATATAGGCACAGCTTTATTTCTGGAATCTTGATTCTAGTTCATTGTTCTTTGTGTCTGTTCTTGTTCCAGTACCATACCCTTTTGATCATAATAGCTTTGTAGTACAACTTGAAGTCTGTGAGTTTGATAGCACCAGTTCTTCCTCTTTTGTCATGATTGTTATGTCTATTCAAGGACTTTTCTGATTCCATATAAATTTCAGTAATATTTATATTACCTTTGAAAAATGTCATTGAAATTATAGGGATTGCATTGCATCTGCATATTGCTTTAGTAAAATGACCATTTCAACAAAGTTAGTTATTTTGACCCATTTGCAGGGAATATATTTCCATTTCTTTGTGTCTTTTTAATTTATTTTAGGAAAGTATTATAATTTTCATTGTATGGGCTCTTCCCCTCCTTTGTTAAGTTTAATCCTAGATATTTATTTTTGATGCAACCATAAGGAAGACATTCTTTATTTTTTCATTTTTAGCTCGTGTTTGCATATAAGGAAGTAAATAAATGATTCTTGTATATTGATTCCATAACCTGCCACTTTGCTGAGCTGATCAATTGATCCCATTAGGCATCTTTAGGGTTTTCTATGTATAGTAACATGTAAACTGTAAATAATGTTAACTCTTACTTCTTTACCAACTTGGATTCCTTTTATATCCTTCTCTTGCCTAATTGAACTTCCAATGCTATGTTAAATAGTGCCAGAGACCAGCTTTGGTGAACAGGGCTGCGGAAAGTGAACCAAGAGATCTTGGAAATAAAGAACTGACAGACACAAACTAGAGTTTAAGAGAAACAGGGCTCAGGGGATGCAAGGCCTCTAATTTCTGTTTCAGGCATCCCGATAACAAGTACAACTCATTTTTATTAATACAAATGTGTGTTGTTCTGTGTGTCTGTTCTTGAATCAAATTAATACAAAATTCATTTTGTCAGAATCAAATTAATACAAAATTCATTTTATCCCTTTGTTAGTTACTAAACAATGAATCCACACACATTCACTATCAGCGTTCTGCATTATCAAGTATATTTTATTCCTTTTCTAATCTTGCCTATTTCTTAGGCTTAGATTTGCTTACATAAGAAAGACACCGTGGTATGGCCATGGACCAGTCTTCCAGCCCATATTGACCAGTCTTCCAGTCTTGACTCTGACATTCTTGCTGTCCCAGCACCTCACATGTTAGGGGTCTCTAACAAAATAGTCATGATGAAAGTGGATATCCTTGTCTTGTATCAGATCTTAGTGGAAAAGTTTCAGATTTTCACCTTTAAGAATTATGTTAGCTTAGTGAAATAAGCCAGAAAGAAAAGGAAAAATACCAGATGGTTTCACTCATAGCAGGAGTATAATAGACCAGGCAAGAAAATAATAATAATAATGAACAGCTATATACCAGAGACATTTTATAGGGGTGGAGTGGGATATAGGATCAAAAACAGTGAGGGGAGAGAAATTCACTGGTCTATGGTGATGTCACAGGGTGATTTGGTGATGGGAAGCCCACGGGGATTACAACTGAGATGAAAAAAATGCACAAAATGATGTAAAAATAAACTATTATGTATATATATATAAAGAAGTATGTTAGCTGCGGGTTTGTCACAGATAATCTTTACTATATTGTGGTATGTTCTATCTATGCCATTTTTTTAGATTTTATTTTTCATGTTATTCTGATAACTTTTTTCCATTTTTAATAATTTATTTATATATATTTTACATCATTGTTCATTCCTTACATTGTTTTCTTTTCATAGGTGTAGATAAGATTTTTGTTTAATCTTATCAAATGCTTCTTGGCATATATTGATATGATTATATGATCTTTATCTTTTGTTGACATGATGATTTTTGTTGATTGATTTTTAGGTCAATCAAGGATGTTGAACCATTCTTGTGTTACTGGTATGAATCCCACTTATTCATTATGTATGACCTTTTAATGCTTTTTAAAATTCAGTTTGCTAAAATTGTATTGAAGATTATTGCATTTACGTTGATTAGAGATATTGGTCTGCAGATTTCTATTTTTGTGGTATCATTATCTAGTTTTGGTATCACTGTCATTTTGCCACACAATATATGTTTGAAAGTTTTCATTCTTTCACAGCTTTTTTTCTTGGTATGTGTTTGGAGAAATATAGGCATTAACTCATCTGTGAATTTTGATAAAACTCTCTAGTGAAATCATCTGGTCCTGGAGTTTTGTTCTTTGGGAGACTTTTGATTACTGTTCAAATATCCATGTTTGTAATTGATCTCTTCAGGTTTTCTATTTCTTCTTGACTCAGTCTCAGATTGCTGTATATTTCTAAAAATTTACCTGTCTCTTCTAGGACATTTTAGTTAATAGTATACAAATGATCATAGTAATAGGATCATCTGAATTTCTGAACTACCTGTTAGAACTTCTTTTTCATTTATGAAACTATTTATTTGCATATTTTCCACTTCTTTTAGGTTTCATTGATTTTTTGGATTGTTTTCCTAACTTCCATTTCATTTGTTTCTTATTTGACTTTTATTATTTCCTGTATTCTACTGGCTTTTGGGTTATTTTGTTGTTCTTTTTCCAGTTCTTTAATGTGGGAGGTTAGCTTGTTTCTTTGAGTTATTTCTTGCTT